GCGTCGAGGGGAGCGTCGAGGGGAGCGTCGAGGGGAGCGGAAAGGAGGAGAGCTGCTCGCAGCGACCGACTGTCCAACTCGTCGGTCCGACTAGGCCACGCCCGAGGAGGTGTCTAGGAACTGTCTAGGAAGTGTCTAGGAAGTGTCTAGACTCGTCGGTCCGACTAGGCCACGCCCGAGGAGGTCGCCGCGTCGGACATCGTCGTCTCTCTGCCGCGAGACCTCGTCAAGGCGGGCAATATCTCGGCTGTATCTCGGCTGTATCTCGGCTGTATCTCGGCTGTATCTCGGCTGTATCTCGGCTATGCCTCGGCTGTACCTCGGCTGTACCTCGGCTATATCTCGGCTAACTCTCGGCTATATCTCGGCTATATCTCCCACTGCCGCGAGACCTCGTCAAGGCGGGCAAGCTGGCCGCGGGCGGCGACGCCGGCGCCTGCCTGATTGAGCCGCGCCGCTTCTCCCGCCCGCTTTCCTTGCCGTTCTTAGTCCCCCACCTGATGCGCAGGCGTCTCCCTCAATGCCCCCCGCGTGTGTGTCGCACACCTCTCGTGTTTCTTTTAACCCCCTCCCCCCCCCTGTTATCAAACTAGGCGTCTCGCTGACTGTGCCTGGCCTGGTCAGCGGCCGCATCGACCTCGACGTGTCGTCGCCGCGCAAGGGCGAGGCGGACATCGCCGTCACCTCGAGCCTGGTCCGGGGCTATAGCCGAGATATAGCCGAGAGATAGCCGAGATATAGCCGAGTTTTAGCCGAGAGATAGCCGAGATATATAGCCGAGAGATAGCCGAGCTGTACATAGCCGAGCTATAGCCGAGATATGCCGAGATATAGCCGAGCTATACATAGCCGAGCTATAGCCGAGATATGCCGAGATATGTAGCATTCGCATTGAGCTTGGTCGAGAGATGGCCGAGAGATGGCCGAGAGATGGCCGAGAGATGGCCGAGAGATGGCCGAGAGACAGCCGAGAGATGGCCGAGAGATGGCCGAGAGATGGCCGAGAGATGGCCGAGACATA